TCTGCCTTTGGCTCAGGTCATGATCCCAGAGTCCTGGGATCGAGTCCCGCATCGGGCTCTACGCTCCTTGGAAGCATGCTTCTCCCTCTGCCTCTCTCTCTCTCTCTCTCTCTCTCTCTCTCTCTCTCTCTCTCTGTCTCTCATGAATAAATAAATAAAATCTTAAAAAAAAGAATGGGGTGAAAGGGAGAGTTAAAAGGTCTGGAGTAGCTAAAAGCCATAAAAACAAAGAGGATCTCCATCCCCCACACCGAGGATATGCTAGAGAAGAAGGTAATACTGCAAACTAGCAAGTCCCAAGGGATAGCCAGAGACTCCTAGGGCAGTGGGCTCTACTCAGACCAGACTCCACTGCAGGAGGAAGGTTCTTTATTTTATTTTATTTTTCTTCATTTCCTGGGGGAGGTGTATGTCTTTTTCTTAACAAACAAACACCTTCTGTAACACTTGTGAAGCATTATTGTGAAGCAAATACTGCTTTCTGTTCACTTTTTCATTCTGTCTCTGAAACTATATTTGTTACTAGGAAACAGCAATAAAGACAGATTTTGATTGAATGTAGTGTCATCCTAATTATCAAGAGTTGGGAGCATCCTGCCATAGTGACATATGAAATAATGTGATATCAAAAAATCATAGAATCTGAGATTTAAAAATGTGGAAGTCAGAGGCCATTTAGGTCCAGAGAATCATCTTCTCATTTAAAAATATTTAACTGAGATGCATATAATTTAATTCAAAAGAACAGTAGCATTAGTACAAAGCAGGATTTTTTTAAGCCTTGAAATAATAGTTTGAACCATATGAAATTGCTAGTATTTGCTGTTTTTAATCTGCTGATAAGACAATTTCATAGAAGTCAGTCTCTCTGTATATACTATTTGGTTAACAGGTCAAGAGTTTCTACTTCAGACAACGGGAGCAAGACTGAGAGAGAGGGAAACGCATTTTATTCCATTCTCATCTGAATTATCTTTTTTATTTTAGTTTTTATTTTATTTTTTAAAGATTTTATTTATTTATTCATGAGAGACAGAGAGAGAGAGAGAGAAGCAGAGGGAGAAGCAGGCTCCCAAGGAGCAGGGAGCCAGATGCGGGACTCAATCCCAGGACCCTGGGATCATGACCTGAGCCGAAGGCAGACGCTTAACCATCTGAGCCACCCAGGCGCCCTGAATTATCTGTTTTCAAACAAGGGACATGAGAAGGGTATATTCACGTATTACTTGGTTTCATAGCAAAAAACAATAATAACTAGCTTTTCACAAAATGGCTCGATAAGAAAATAGACTTTTTTTTAAAAGATTTGTTTATTTAAAAGTGGGGCACCTGGGTGGCTCAGTTGGTTAGGAGTCTGCCTTTGGTTCAGGTCCTGGGATCAAGCCCCTCATCTGGCTCCCTGCTCAGTAGGGAGCCTGCTTCTCCCTCTGCCCCTCCGCCTGCTTGTGCTCCTGCATGCGCTCGCTCTCTCTCAAACAAATAAATAAATCTGTTTTTATTTATTTGAGAGAGAGAGAGAGCATGAGTAGGAGTGGCAGAGGGAGTGGGAGAGGGAGAGAGTGGGAGAGAGGGAGAGAAGGGTAGGGGCAGACGGAGAGAGAGAGAGGGGGAGAGCATGGGGGAAGGGCAGAGGGAGAGAGAGGGAGAGAGCATGGGGGAGGGAGGTGGGAGAGGGAGAGATCCCAGGGTGGGGGGAAGGGACAGAGGGAGAGGGAGAGGGAGAGAGAATCTCAAGCTGACTCTGCCTGAGTGCGGAGTTAGACCCAGGGCTCCAGCTCAGGACCCTGAGATCCTGACCTGAGCCAAAACCAAGAGTCAGACACTTAACCACTACGCCACGTAGGTGCCCGCAAAATACACATTTCTAATTCACATTATCCACAGGGCAAGTTTATTTTAATTACTGTGATAGCAAACAGTATATACCAATTGGCATAGAGTTACCTCTTGCTTCAGCTCTCTTGGGTGGCTTTATTCCCTAAGGTTGCTGGCGGCTGATGGGGTCCTGCTGCAGGTGGTGATGGTGGTCAGGGGCAGTTGCCAGCTAGAAGCCAAAGTTACTTCAGCACATGTCTTACTAACGGAATCAATCACCTCTTTTTATCTTCCTGAGGAGATTGTATTCACATACTGCACATGTTTGTGGCTATATTCTGACTGAGCATTCAACTCTTTTCTCACATGCATATTCTTATTATCTGTTTTCTTCAAGTTCTTGCAAATTTATGTTTTTTTAATGGACAGGGCAAAATCTTTTGTTAGTTTGCAATCATAGCAACTATAGTAATAAAATTTAAAAAGTAGTTATTTTATCACTGTAGAGTTAGATTTAATAAATATTTTAAAGTAATATAATTAAATCAGGGATTGAGGCCTAGGATATTGTGGTGTAAATAACTATTCTCCACAGCTATTTTAGCCATAAAGAAACATTTCTATATTTTGGTTTGAGGTTTTACTATGTCAGTCATTCTAAATGTAGAATGTAAATTTATAAAATTGTGAAACTAAGCAATGATAAATTCTGAAGGAATCCATAATAGGCATCATTATATAATGAGGCAGATGTCCCTGTATGTTACTTTTTTTTTCAGGAAAAATGAATGAACATACTAATTCCTGCAAAGTAAGTGATATTTTAGGTAATCTCCAGGTACAAACTCTTGCCAACTTACCTATGGTAAAATAACCTAAGGAGATATTTGCAGTATGTAGATTAACAAGGGACATTTTCAAGGTTTGGGGATAGCAAGCAGGGACAGTTTCAGCAGCTCAAGAGCAAGGATCCTCTAAAGGAAAGTTGCATTTTTCTGGGCTTTCAGATGGGCTAAGCACAATACATTCTTGTTTGGCCCTGCACAAGAGCAACACCATTATTAATTATGCAAACCTTTTTTTGGATGGGTAAAAGAATTTGAGAATGACTCAGCAAGAGATTTCAAAACCAAATACCTCTACCTACTTATTGAACATGTTCTTTTCAGATCTGCTCTCTGTTCTGTGACCTGGGGTTAAAAGTTTGAGATCTACAGAAGGAAGTCTCCATTACTGCATTGGCCTCTGAGAAAGCCCCAGTTTTGCCAGGAATATCAAATCAGTTCTCCCTAGTCCTCGCATCCTTTTAGTCTTAGTTTAAGAGGGAAATAGATGATACTTCTTCAAGTTTAGCCTCCAATTTTTCTTTAACAACCATAAAACCTGGTCAAATCCCCTAACCTAACTGGGTTTACCTGTCAAATTATGTGTGTGGGTTGGAGGGTAGTTACTTTCACATTTTCCTCTAGATAACACTGTATATTGATGGCAACTTGGAAAAGGGGGACATTTAAATGTTAAATAAAGATGTAAAGGCAACAGAAGATTTTTTACAAGTCCTTGCTAAAGTGACAGTTCAAGATTTAGTTGGAAAAGGCAAGGCTCCCAATCACCAGTCTGGGGGAGGAGAAGTCCTCTCACCTATTTTGGAAACTACTTGCAGATGTGGGGAAACCACTGAATTGCTCACAACAGGGGTTTTGCAGAGATTTCCTCTGATTTTTTTTTCCTCCCCAATTTCCCACAACCTGTGTTTGTCTTGCGTCTGCTAGGCTGACATGTGGTTTACCTCGCTGATCCTGCTGCCAGGTTTTACACACTCTCCTCAGAAGTAAAACAACTGAAGCCGAAGGATACTGAGCAACTCCGGGTATGGGCGCCAGAACTGTCACAGAAAATTTGCTTCCCGAGTATTCCTTCCAACTTCCCTTCCTGCGCCCACGTGAGCCATAGCGCCAGCCCATCAGCAAGGTCTTAGCGTTTCCTGCTGCTGCAATCTGTAACTTGATTTTGGATTTTTTTTTTTTTTAATTGCAGTTCTGGGGATCTTAGTTCTTAGCAAAACTTTGTTGGTTGGGGGACTTTTAAAGCAGTCTTCTTCCTTACCCAAGTCGCGAAGGCTCAGACACTTTTCCTCCATTCCCGGGCTGCACTAAGGTTAAACCGCAGCAAAGGAAAGAAACACACACCCGCTGTTTATTTGGGGGGGGGAGGGGAAGTAGAGGTTTGCAGCTAAGTTATCACGATCCTTCGCGCCACCCCCGGTCTGGCACTCTTGGCTGACACGTACATCATCTATTAATTGCTGTTCGCGGACGCAGATACATAATATATTCATTTTTATCTTTAGTAAAATATAAATGGATTGTCAGAGCGCTCGTGTCTGTTTGTTTGTACAAGGCTATCAAAAGAAGTCAGAGAGGAGGCTGTGGCCCGGATCCTGACCCTGATTGTATGAATAAGTAAGCAGGATGCAAGTGATTGGGTTAGATGCTGCGAAGATTTTTTTTTTTTTTTTTCAAGTTAGGAAGAGGGTAAAAAGACAGCCTGGGTGGGGGGGGCGGGGGAGGCAAACGGTGTATCCCCAAATCCTCACACTTTTGCTCTTTTCAGTCAGTTGCTTTGCTGGCTTCTGCAGGCTTTTAAGGTCTCGCGGCGTAGAAATGCCTGCCCCCCACCCCCTTCCTCGGTCTCCCCTTTCAGTTCAGATGTGCTGATGTGCAGACCGGATTCATCTTCCCCGAGCGACGGCGGCGGCGGCGGCGGGCTCAGGCGGCGGCGGCGGCGGCAGCTCGCGCTCTACGGCGGGGTCCTGGCAGCGGCGGGGGCGCGGCGCGGGAGCCCGAGCTTCGGTGGCAGCTGAGCCCGCGGGGCGCCGCTCGCCCAGCCGCGGCCGCGGGAAGTTCGGCGGCCAGAAGGACGACCTGGCAGGCAGCGAGCGCCCGCTCCGCCAGAGCAGAGTTTGCCCGCAGCTGCCCCTCCCCGTCTCCGGGAGCCGAGCTCCTTACCTGCCCTCCGCCCACCCGCGGGCCCCTAGCCAACTTCTCCCTGCAACTGGGGGTAACAGGCACTTCTTGTCCTCTCTACTGTCCCGACGGCATCCGTATGTCTCCGGACACCTGAACACCCCAGTGTCGCCGAGGAGCCTCCCGGTAGGGAGAGGAGCACCGGTTCCCCTCGCACCGCACATCAGCGCGGACCGCGGACGCCTCACCTCCCGGTCCCGTCCCTTCCTTTTCCTCCAGGGGAGGAGGATGGGGTTGCAAAAGCTTCCCCCGAGGATGCTCGTGTGGCTGGTGGCCTCGGGGATTGTTTTCTACGGGGAGCTTTGGGTCTGCGCTGGCCTCGATTATGATTACACTTTTGATGGGAACGAAGAGGATAAAGCGGAGACGATAGATTACAAGGACCCTTGTAAAGCCGGTAAGTGCCTCTCCAGGTCGGGACGGTGGCGTGCGGGGGGCCGCCGCGCTGGATTTCCGAGGGGCGGTGGTGGGAGCTCACCTGTTTCCTTCCCTCTCTCGCCAGCCCCTCCGTCGCTCTGTCTCTTGCGCTCCTTTCCTTCCCCTCCCCACCCCCCCAAGTGACAGTCGCCACGGCCCGAGTTGACTGGAGTTCTGTGCTAGTGGGATCGAATGCCAAGCTCCCGGCTCCCAGTTTGGGAAAAAAGTCCAGAGTTCGGATTCCCTTCCCCTCCCCCAGCAAAACGAAACAAGCCGTAAACACAGCTGGCCTGCCGAGGGTTTTAAATACCAGCCCTCAGCGGGCTATATGCATCTGGAGGGGACTACACCTCCTCTTTGTTCCAGGGTGTGGTTCCCCAGTGTTCGCCTGAGACCGAGTTGGTCAGAGTTCCCCAAAAGATGGGTGGGGATGGAATTGCTACCTCGGGACACCTTTGCTTCCTCTTTTGCCAGGGATTTCAAGTGTGGGATCCAGGCGAGAAGGGGATTGTGACGATCTTGGAAGCTCTCAAGCTAGATGGAATTTAAATGCATTTGCCCATTTAAAATAAACCTTAAAAAAAAAAAGTCCAAGTTGTTACCCCATTCAAACTTGCGCCTTCCTTCCTGTGTACACCCCGGGGAACTGCAGTTTGACCTGCACTGCCTGAAGCTCAGCTTCTCCTCGCGCGCCCCGGAGCGCCCCCGGTCCTTCCCCTCTCCCTAACGCGTCCAGCGCCTCTGCGGGTCTCGCCTCCCGCTCCGGGCGGTGCTTCACTCCCACCGCCTCAGGTCGGAGCCGCACGTGCCGCGGCCGGCGACCACGTGAGCGCAGCGTTCCGGGACTCCCGGGGCGCTCCAGGTCCCTGACCCTGCGGAGTTGAGGTTGAGGTGACCGGAATTCATTGTGGACTCACGACTAACTTCGGGAGGAAGGTTACAAGGGTTGTTGGGGCCGGCTTCGTAGAGTTGTTTGTAGGCTGAAGGCACGTTCTGTCCCATCTCTAGAGGTGTGGGCTTTGGCGAAGCAAAGAGGAAGGGAGTGGGCAAAGTGCCCAAAGTACCTCTGCTTCTGCGGATTCTGTGCGGGCTTGGTCGGTATGTGACTGCGATTTCTTTCCTTTTCATAGCAAGGTAAACCTTATTCAACCTTTCTTGGTCCTGAAGGAAGGAGAAGTACACACAGTGAAGGAAAATGCTGGAAATTCCCTTGTTAATTTGTACTGTTGACACATTGCTCTGACAAGGAGCGTATGTGTGTTCTGTGCATGTTATCAGATCTTCGTTCGCGCTTACTGGAGATGGTTATTCAAAACTTGGAGTAGCTTAATAGAAACTTGTCAGTCTGGAACTCAGATTTCTGTTTTAATTCTGTTTTGTTTGTAAGTTTCCTCCTACCACCTTTAACACTCAGTCTATCCCACCAGAAGTTTCTTGGGCCTTCCCTGATGGCTTGGGGAGCAAGACACCATTCTGCTCTGATGGGTGACTAGTGGCTGGACAACCAGAATTCAATACCATACAACTCCCCAAACATACAAGTCCCCAATTTTATTGAGAAATTAATTTTGAATCATGTTTGCAACTGGGTGAAAATTGTGTACTTTCTTGTTTTAGATCATATAGAAATGAAGTGTTATTTCTAAAGATTGTCTAGGAAAAACATCTATTCTGATGCTCTGATGTATGAAAGATTCGACCAGCTATTAATATGAAAAAACCAGTGCATATATATACATTGACCTGATTTCAGGAAAATATAGTTTTCTATACAGATTCAAGTGAAAGTTTATGCCTTTTAAAAATCATTAATTTCAAATATGAATATAAGAAGTGTCAAAAATGAGCTAATACTATTTTCAGAAATTATGTTGTTTAGGCTTATCTTATGTTAGAAATTGTCCAGAATAAGGTTCTGTGAACATAACTGTTTTTTTTTTCTATTTCAGAATGTTTTCAATTTTAAAATTTAAGTGGTTGCACCATGTGTATTGAAATCTGCCTCAAGCATAAATGTTTATTATCCTCAGCAAATAAACATCTAGGGCAAGAAAAAAAACTTCAAGAGCATTTACTTTTGTTTTTCCTTTAATACTGGTTTATTTTAGAGCATAACCTTTGAGTACAAGAAGCATACCTGTGTCTATGTGTATATTGTATATGTATAATGAAAAGAGAAGAATGGCCCAAGTGGAAGGCTGAGAAGTATATCCAAAATCTGAGATCACTTTTTAAATGATCAACCCTGCTTTTTAAATTTAGTGACATGAAAGGCTTTAATTTACCATCTTGGCTAAAGAGTGGCAAAGTCTTGGCTAAGAGTGTCCTACACCCTTTGGCATGGTGTAAGACAAGTAAAAGTTATAATAACAAGAAAAAAATTTAATAGCACATTGAACTCCCAAACAAGAGTCAAAAAAAGGTCACTAAAATAGAAAGATGATGACAGATATGTGAAAGAAGGCCACACAAAAGCCAGACAGGGTGCCCTCCAGATTCTGGGGCACCTTTAATCTGTCCTTTCCAAAGAGCAGAGTGGAGGGCATGGACTATAAAATAAAAGTGTCCTTTCTGCACTTTTCTAACAAAATACTAATTTTCCTCAAACTATATAGCGGCTTGATGTCATAATGACTAACATAGCTTTATAGTTTCAAAGCACTCTTAAGTACATTATTTCAGCTCAACACAACAGTCCAATGTGGTGGAACTTGTTAGTCTTTCCATTACACAGATAGGAAAACAGATGTTCCACAAGGTCAAATGGTTGTTAAGATTATCCAGAACTTGATTTGAAGTCTCCTGGCTGCAAAACCTGGCATGCAATTAGGTAGGTAGGTAGGTAGATAGATAGATAGATAGCTGAAATAATTACACTGCATCCTTAGCTGGCCTTTTGGAGGCCTCCCTAGAAATGCAAACAATAGAAATTTGTCCAGGTTTACCTAGAGTCTAGACTAATAGAAGTGCAGTTACTTTCATATCTGATAAGCATGAAATGACTAAGAACATAGTTTCATCTTTTCCAAACCCAATTATAATATAAAGTCTTTGAAGACAGAGGTCATACCTGATTTTTAATATTTATCCCAAGAATAGATTACCACTGTTGTTATCTGGTAAGTTCTCAATTCCTTCTCAATATCTATAGACTATAAATATTGATCTTCATCCCTTATCTACAAACTTCTATTCTAACCAGTAATGTTACCCAAGAAGAAATATTCTTAATACAACTTGTTAAAATTGCGCCATTCTTAATATATTTGTGAAACGCTGTAATTTTTATACCTATGAGAACTCTAATTTCAAGTTCATGGAACTACTGGACAGAAAGGAAGCCTTGTGTTAATTTAATTGAACTTTCACTTAGAAAGACATTTTGGTATAAGTGAAATTAGGTGAGTTAGTGCAGCATAACTAAAGATATATTTATATAGTCGAATCCATTAAGACAGGATATAGGTAATTGATCTCTATATATAGATAAACACAAAGATGCATATAATTCAAAGGGATATCTGATTGTCTTTCTTCAACATAGTACATAGTCATCTGAGTTTGCAATCTTACTCTCTCTAGTTCAGAAGGTTCCTAAGGGACACTAGGAAGCTGATGCTGCAGGAAGTCATTCCAGAACAGAGACTAAGGTATCCTGTTTCAGTGTTGTACTGTTCCAATAGGTGTTAATCAGAGTATTAATATCTGTAAAACTCAGTGTGCAAGTTAATCTTCCAGATTTGTCTGGAGATTACCTGGAGACCCGATAGACCAACTCTGTATTCCCTGCCTTCCTCCCTCCCTTCTTTTCTCTTTTTGTATTTAAGGGGATATCAGGAAAGCTCAGGCAATTAAAAATATAATATGTAATAAGGGAGATTGAAGAATTTAGTGTTTTGAATGATGGGTAGAGGCTAAGAAGAATGATGATGTAGAATATTTGTTCAGAAGCTTGTCCTTATCCTTTTGGACAAGTGTGAACACCCGGAAAAAAAAAAAAAGACTTTCTATCTTGAATCTTCTGAGTAAATGTCTCCTTTTCCTGGAAAAAATCCAAACATGGTTAAAGGTCAGTGACTTGCAAGGTTAAATTTGCCTTTGGAGTGGCATATGCAAGCCTGTTTATATAGAGATAGGCTTTTGGCCTCCTAAAGGATTCTTCTTTCTGCTGTTCTTTGTAATCAGTGTCCCAGTGTCCTGGTATACTAATTTTTGGGATGATTTTCATAAATTTATAATCTCTTGGTAAGATCTTCTCATTCTTTTCGTCCCCAGTGCTGTACTTTCTAGCTTCAGAGTTAGCCTCCTAGGTATGATGTTTTAGAATTTGATGTTCAGCCCTGTGTCAACTTTATTCTTTCATAATATTAAATATTGAAGCGTATATTTCTTGGTCAGCACCTCTGTCGGTTGCCAAACCCTCATGTTAAAAATGCATTTCATAGAGTGGCTTTGCTTCACCAGCCTCTCTTCTCTTTTAGTTTTCATTCCTCAGATCTTGTTTTTAATTTTTTTCTTTTTCCTCCTGCTGTTTCTGATGCCAACTCAGAAGTAGCCAAAGTATAATTTTTGCAAAAAGGATGGATAGATATTATATTCTATATACTTGAATTCTGTTCATCATTTGCCAGTAGTGATTCTGTATCCCTTGTTGTGAGGGTCCACATCCATTTTTGGCCCATAAATGGCAGTTCCTGTTCCTAGGTATGAATCGGATAGACTATTTTTTTTTTTTTTACATATATCCCCACAGAGTCAGCCAGCTTTGAAGCTCCTTTTTGTTTGTTTGTAAGTAGTCTCCTGAGATCTTCCCATTTTTTTGCCCCTGATGAGGGTACTGTCATCTGCCAGTTCAAAATCTAGCTGGAATCCCTTCACTGAGGCAGTTTGGGTAGTAATTACTGGAATCTTTATGATTTCTGGCTCAGTAGATGCTGTTTGAGTCCTCCCTTCCCTGTTTAGGCCTCCTTAGTCTATAGT